GGGGGGGTGTCCACAGACACAGGCTGTGTCCATCACAGAAAAGACCTCACGTCCTCCTCCATAAACCCCAGCAGGATACAGGATTCTGTCCCGTCATCGTTTTCAGAGTGTGTTCAGTTCCTGGAGAAGGACAACCAGGGTCAGGACGGTAGGACGGGTCTGTCGTCCAGAGACAGACGGCCGGGTTCTATTTCAGGCTATGCTAGTCTACAGACCAAGGAGTCTCTAGGCGGGACACTTGACCTAAAGTCCCCGTCATCACAGGCCTGAGTGGTTAAAGGAGCGCTTTGGGACGTCCCTGCACTCTGGTCCTCCTGCTGGTCCAGGGTAGTCACTGCAGCGTTACGTACAGTTCTGAGACATGAAGTACAGCAGCGTGGTATAGGAGTCTGTTTTGAACAGTGGTTCTCAGGCTGTGGGACGTGTACCTCTGGTGGTACGTGGGAAACCTGGTAGATAAGAATCAGGCTGGACTTTTCCACGACTTCCAAAAGTAACTTTAATCCGAGGCTCGGAGATCTGACCTGATTTAAAATGTCACGTAACATTTTGGTAAAGAGTGTGCGGTCTCATGAATCTGTGGTCACTCTTCTTTAATAGAACATGATGTCAATTTGTCTTCCATTCGGAGCTTGGCCTCGTCCCAGCTCTACAGTGTTCTCCACTCTGCTCCTGACGAAGAATCTGAAAAAACAAAATAACTGAGCAGTAACCCACGTGTCCAGCAGACCACTAACTCCGCCGTGGTCCCCAGGGCGGTCTGTGGCATTTATAGTCTACACCAGAGCTTTATACATTTTTTATATACATTCTATAAAAAATGCATGAGGAATCTGCAGCCTCGTAGTTGATGTACCTGGGTGATGAGGTCACGGGGTCGACCGTCTCAGTAGTGAAGTCCAGGTCATTCCCTGTTCAGAGTGCCCTCTGGTGGTGGAGCCAGACGAGTGTGGTGGAGCCAGAGTCCAAAAAATGGCAGATTAGCCAACACTACCCTGAGGAACTGTTAGCCGTTAGCCAGTCCAGACAGCGTTTGGTGGCCAAGCCTTTTCCCTTGGTGCTTTGCAGGGTCCAACTGTCAGACGGACATAGGTTGGCAGTCCAGTTACCCCACCATCTGCAGGAGGAGTCCAGGGGGTCGGAGTGGTTCGGTGATTGGAAATCAACACATTAGTTTAAAGTTGGTTTAATGTATTCAGAATTCTGTTGATAAAAAGTCAGAGCAGAATTTAAATGAGTGACGTGTGCAGTTGAGGTTTGAAACACGCTGATGGAGTCAAGTCAAGTCAGTCGGATCAGTATCTGGTGTTGGTTATCTTCAGGTACTCCAGGTGTTGGTTATCTTCAGGTACTCCAGGTGGCAGTATTTGTGTCGGAGATGAAGTGCAGTATTTAGCTGGTACTCCTCCTGGAGTTCTGACTGGTTCTCAGCATAGGGCTCGCCTCAGTAACCCGGCGCCGTGTCTGCTGCGGTTCAGTGGGAGAACACTGACGGTAACTACGAACTACAGCATCTGTCACAACTGCCTGATCTCAACCACCGACCTCAGAAACACTGCGCCCAAAACACCGCAGCAATTCCCTGTTTTTCCTGTTCGGAATTGATAGAAACAAAACGGCGTCCGCGGAGTCACCGCCGCTCCTGTCACCGCCGCTCCTGTCACCGCCGCTCCTGTCACTCTCCCTGATCCTAATCTGAGCGCACGCTGCCGTACATCAGTCAGGGATTTAACAGCAGCAGAATGAGAACGTGCTGACAGGCTGGAAGGTCGTGTCGTCGCTGTCACTCACCGTTAAATCTGATCAAACTGCACACACACACACACACACGCGCGCACACACACACACTGGTAAAGCAGATTAAATCAGCTCTCAGACTGTTCAACTCTAATACATATTACTGTAATACAAGGTACTACAGAATACATTTGATAATACCTAAGCTGAGCTTTTACACTTTCATATATCTGGACTGAATACTTTCAGATTTTTCTCAAACCAGTTGCAGTATATTTTTGTATATACTTATGTATCTCTTGTTGACCAGTATATTTTTGTATATACTTATGTATCTCTATCTTATGTATCTTAGATTTCAGCGCGGCCGGCTAACGTTTGGTAATTTAATTAGTTATTTTATTTGTTTTTCTTTTTGTGTGTACTCTGTAGTACCTCCAATTACTCTTATTTTACTACATTTTTGTTTGTTAAACTGCAGACTTTTAGCAGTTTTCTTTTTAGCCTAAAGTATCTTTAAACTATGTTTCTAACTTTTAGTCACTTTGTGTGTATGTGTACATTTATACTCCTAACTTTTCTGGGCTAGTACTTTGCGTTTACTTTGGTGAAATACTTTATTTTCCTCAGGTTCAGTTTCATGAGTAGCAGTTGAAATGGCTGCTAATGAAACAAAGAGACACAGCAGTCATGTGACCCACGTTTATAGGCTGGTCTGGGGCTGGGCTTCTCCTCTCCCTCAGTCAAAGCCTTTCTGCAAACACACAGGATGTGGGAGGAAAACATTTCTCCGGCACAGAGCTCAGTATTTACTGAACGGAGGGCGAGTCGCGGCGCCGGGATCTGTGGACGTCTGGTTTAATCTCAAACACCTCGTTACAGATTCTGGAGCCGCTCTCCTCTGTAGTTGTGAAGCAGACATGGCACACATTAATGGACATCTGTTTCTGGTACACTTTCCTATTAGGTGGACCACATGCTTCACCTCCCTGTAACAAGTTTAGCCGTAATTAGGATGAATTATAACTCCCCAGGGCCAACTGTCGCTCCTCTGAACCTCAGGGCCTTAAATATCAGACGTCCACATGCACCGCATTTTAAGAGACGCTGTGGACGAGGGACACTTCTTATTTCACCATAATGATATTTGACTTTAGGCAGGCCCACTTAGTCAGTCTACTGGCCCATATCTGGTATCCAGTGACCTGTAGCCAGTCCAGTGACCCACATCTGGTATCCAGTGGCCCACGTCCTCAGTCCAGATGTGTTTTAAGTTCCAGTACAGTACATTGTCATCCTCAGTCCAGATGTGTTTTAAGTTCCTTCTTTTAAACCCAGTACAGTTCATGGTCTTATGTCAACAGAAGCTCCTGCAGCCTGAATCATATATTTCTGTGATGACTGGTTTACCTTTCTCATCATAAACTACAGTTTTATGCTTCATTTTAGCCACTCAGGCTAATCTGTGTTTCTGTGTGGCGTGCATTCCCACCACAAATAGACGGCAGTACCGTTGTCTGCCTGTAGGGCCTCTGTCCGTTCATATTTAAGTCATGTATACTACTCTGGGACTCGGTGGTCGTCGGGCGGACAGGTTGGTCTCAGCTCATTAAAAAGAACGCGGAGCTGCCGTGATTGGCCGCAACTCAAACCTGCCCCCGATCCACGGGAGAATAATGTATTCACTCTGCCGTGGGATCTCGGCCACGTCGCACGGAGAGAGACCAAAATTAGCTGGTCACACTCGCACGCCCACGTGTGAGCCCACAGTTGGTGAAGTAATACGCTGTGAAAATGCTTTGACTGTGTCGTCTGGAGTCATTAATTCATGAAGGAAGAGAAAAGTGGTTTTGGGGGCAAACACCTGAAAATCCATCAGAGGTCGATTTGAACGGTTCAAGAAAAAAGAAACATACAGATGAAAAATGGATGGAGGTCTAATTTGAGTCTGTCTCTGACTCTTTTTGCCTGTTTGTTTTTTAAACTGTTCTTTATTATCAATAGTATTATTATACATAAAAATAATTATTATTATTTTAGTCTCTTATCATTTCTAAATATTTTTACATTAATTTATTTATATTTCTTATTTGTATTTCTACTGCTCTTTTTCAGTGCATGTTTTTGTGACTTTTGTATTTGGTCCTTTCAGAGTTTTCTCTCCAGATCAGGTTAAAAGCAGCGTCAACTCTCTTCTGTAGTTTCTTTTTTTTTTTTCTCTTACCTTCATGTAGAGGTGACCAGTGTAGATCTGTGATTGCAGAAAAATCACCTTGAGTGTGACAGAAGTGTTTGAAGTGAAGTCAGAGGAGGGAACAGAAAGAGGAGGATCAGTCTGTGCTCACGTCGTCAAACGTTGCCTCAAAAATGACAACCTGACCAAGTACTCAGAACATGAGAGCAGAGTGGGTGGAACTGTAGAGAAGGGCTTTAATCTCCATTTAAATCCTGCTCCTCACTGAGGAGGAAACGTTGGCTGCAGTCGCTGGAGCGTTTGTATTTGACCAGGAAAAAAGATGGAATTATGAAATGGAATTATTAATGGGCGAGGCGGTCGGGAAACGTCTCGTCAAAATTATAAAATCAAATTCTTCTGAATGTAGTACAGTCCACAGTAAAAGGACTGTAGGAAATGTAATATTTTCTAATCTGATTTGAAAGTGTTTGTTGAGCCTGCAGTTAAACATGGTTTCTTCTCAGCGGGTGCTGCACCTTTAAGAAGTCACTGAGGCTGTGGCTGAGTGAACGACAATCACCGGGAAAGAAAACACACAAATTACAGTGTGTGCCAAAAGGAGCGGACTGAAGTGAAGCAAACAATAATTAAACATGAGCTCGGTCACGGCTCACTCTGAATACTGTATTCACTCACGTCAGCGCCGCGAGGCCGCACCTGAACTCAGCACGTACTGTATGTACACACACACTACGTACACACCGAGCCACCGAATCAAGATCAGAATGATGACCTTGTCAGGAGTCGGCCAGGGCGGGGCCCGGGGCGAGCGGGGTGATGGAGATGAGCGCCATTAGTAATCCTATCAGCCGCCTGATGAGTGTCTGCTCCTCGGCGCCGCTGCGTCTTCGGATTGAGTTGTTCAGTCAATCATGGATTCAATATTTACTTGACGATTCAATATTTACCAAGGCGCTCCTCACAAACGCGTGACAGAGGAGATAATGCAGCCTGTGAGGATCCTATCAAAGACTGGTTACAGGAGCAGTGGAATGAACGGGCGGGTGATGGAGGGCAGAGTGGCAGAGTGGCACAGTTTATCTCTGACTATTTCATGGAGCGGCGGCGCTGATGATGTTCTGGGGTAGTTTGATTTTAAAATCCTAAAAAAAAAAAATCACGTGATCGACCTGGAAAACAACGTTTACGTTAATGTTGGCCTGGTTTGACGCCATGATGGTGTCCATGGTGCCTGACCTCCGACGTTGACCTTTTGTTGTTAGCTCTAACTTTGTTGTTAGTCAAACACAAACATCATTTTTCAACAGTTTCTGTCACAGGAGCAAAAACAGTTCCATAAAACATGCCCATCCAGATACACAGTACACAAATGGCAGTACTCATAGTACTACTCATCGTAGTATCAGCAACTACTCATTATCGTTGGCAAATCCCATTTCATTTCACCCACACATATATAAATATATATACCTACATATATGTTTGCACATGTGTATGTTTGTGTTTGTTAGACCCACAGCAGACAGATGGTTACGGTGGTGAAGCGTGCGTTCCAGGCGGCTGCATGACGGCAGCCTGGATGTTTGATCCTGGTGGAACAGAAGTGAACACTGATCACACTGCTGGCAGGCAGCACACCAACACGCTCGCCTCCCGAGCCGCAGTCGGCCCAGTGATTTGATTCCTCAGACTGATTACTTTTAACTCCTGCCAGGAGGAACATTTATGCCTTCATCTACCTACAATATGTTGCCGTGCCCTTAAATACAACATTTATAGCGCGGGAACAAAGCTCTAAAACACGAACACGTCCGACAGCAGGCGTTTTCAGTCTGTGAGTTAAACTGGAACGGTGAGCGAGATCTTTGAAATAGAAAGAGAGAATGCAGTAAATGTGTTTCTTTTTCTTCCTCCGCTGGCAGTGGAATGTGTGACTGAGGAGTGAAATGGATTAAAAATAATGTCAGGTTGAAAACACACAGAAACACGAGCTGCTCGCTGCCTTTTTCTGTCTCATTTAAACCGCTCTCTCAGCCCCTCGCTGCGCCTCTCTCCCACACCGTGGGCTAACACTTATTGTGGGCTTGTTGTTATTTGCAATTAGTTAATGAATAATCAGTGACTTTCCCCATGAAAGGCAGTAACACACATGTCAATAATGGCTGTCAATCACAGTGGAGTCCCACACAGCTGCTCTGTTTGTGGTTTTATTTCATTAGTCTTTGTTTTAGTTTGTGTTTTAATTTTTTTTCCTACCTCCGTCTGTAATTTGGGGGTTTCATATATTTGGAAAGAGAGTTTGGCTTCTTCCCGGCAAACACGCTCACAGATGGAGATTTTATTATAAGCACTGACAGATTGGAGTTCAACTGCAGTTTATTCTGACAGGGTCTGTCTGTTGTAACAGCGAACACCGCGGCCTGGTTGTGTAAATAGTCGTGTCACGGCCTCGGCTTCGCGGCAGTATCGGTGTTTGTTCTGCGGTGCCGTACACTGGGTTTGGTGACATCATCACCCGCTCAGGTCGGTGTTTTTCTGCTGTTTCTCAGTCAGCCTTTTCCTCACAAACACCTCCTCCTCCTCCTCTTCCTCCTCCTGCGACGTCGTCCTCACCTCTTCTCTGCGACTCCTCGTCTTCCTGCTCTGCTGAAACTGTGGCTCAGCTCCTCGTGTTTACCCACGGTTTTAATCACCTGTGACAACAAACAGGCAGTTGGCTGAACAACAAGTATTTAGAGTTTACCCGAAGTCACCAGCTGAGGGCGTGGTTCATACCTGGACACTTCTCTGGTCCGACATTGGACCATCACATCTTTACTCACGGTTCATGCAGGTTCTTTACTGTAGATTTAAAAATGTTTTTTTAAAATTTGAGCTAACCTTTAGCCTGATCTTTTATTTCATCTTTAGCTATTGAAGCTAAAACTACACTACAGCTTTTTTGTCAGGCTTTTATATTTTGTTTACATGATTCTGTGCCGTCCTTTATCTGATTATTAACTTTATCTCAGAAACTGTTCTGTTTTTTGGCCATTTATAAAATATATCACCCTGTCCATACACATACACACACATATAGATTTACATTTGATTCTTTGCCACCACATCTAAAAACCACGTGAACCTCCAGGTCCACTCACACCAACACTCTACCTGTCTGTCCTTATGCCGACGCTTTGATCAGGAGACATAAAACAGAGTGTGTTTCCACAAATCCTCCTCCTCTTCCTCTTCCTCCTCCTCCTCCTCCATCCTTTTCCAGCACCGACACCAACACCCGTCTCTGCCTGGGCACAAATCTGGACACGTGAATAAAACCCACCACAAAATGCTCTTTATGTATTTGTTGATTTGGATTTTCCTCAGAAAATTCACAAACAGCCACCTGCCGAAAATTGTCTCTGCTGGAGCCACAGACAGAAGATCTGAAGAGGGGAGGGAGAGAGGGAGGGAGAGAGAGAGAGGGAGAGAGAGAGGACGGCTGAAGTGACGGACGGTTCAATTCAGAGAGGGGGCAAAAGGGAATTGGAGACGGAGATGAAGAGAAATGAAGTGAGACAGAGGGAGTAGAGAGGGGTGAACGGCAGGATGGTGTCTGTGTGTGTGTGTCTGTGTGTGTCTGTGTGTGGGGGGGATGTTTGGGCAAATAAAGTATTTGTCACAGTGGCATGGCGAAGAGATTGAAAAAGGAATAGGGTAGAAGGAGGAGGTTAAAGCTTTTATACGTCCTGAACCCTCGGCCGCTCCGTCCTGTGTTTACCTTGGTGTGAATATTTTTGTCTTGGTCGTCGTCTTCTTCTCCTCGTTCTTCTCACTTATTCTCCTCTTCTTTTTTCCCTTGTTTACTCTGCAGGAACCTCCATTATCCAGGTGACAGCCACAGATGCTGATGACCCGACCTACGGGAACAGCGCCAAGCTGGTGTACACACTGGTGCAGGGACAGCAGTACTTCTCTGTGGACCCCCAGACAGGTGAGTGTGTGTGTGTGTGTGTGTGGTCCCAAAACGCAGCGGTAAAGAAATGTGAAGGATGTCCAGATGTTGGAAAACAAACACACACTCACACACACACACACACACACACACGCAGCCGTGCAGGAAAAGCAAACGCAGTCAAGCTGTTGAAGAACAAACAAGTTAATTCACTCATGACACACACACTTGGTCCGTAGAGTCAGTGTGAGTGTGTGTGTTTGTTTTTGTGTGACTGGGGCACCTCTGACACACACACACACAGGTTTTGGTGTTTTGTGAGCACCGAGACTTAGACTTAATTCTTCCTTTAATCTTTGAAGCTAAAACGGACGAAGAAGAAGATCATTTTAACCAAATATTTGACTGATTCCAAACCTTTCCCTGACAGATTATAGTCTCCAGCTCTAATCCTAATTTAAATCCAGTGGACTCCTGCCAAATGTCCCCATAAGGACAACAGGTGTTTTTACTGTCCCCACAAGTACAGCTACACCAGAAGAACACACAGGCCAACGTGCCGACATCCAGGAACATCATCTGCATAGTCAGGTCTCAGCTGCTTCTGAGAGCACACACACTGTACACTAACACACACTGTACACTAAAACACACACACACACACACACACACAGCCAGACTCTTAAACACACACTCAGTGTCCCCAGATCTCTGTCTCACTCAGTCATCCATCTTTCCCACTTCCCCTTTTCCCCCTTGTGCCCCTCAAACACACTGCTATTAAACACACATGACCAGGCATCTGTCTACACACACACACACACACACACACACTGATGCCACATCCACCTCCCCTGCTGGTTTTGCTGTGAGTTGGCAGGAGTGTGTTCCTGCGCCGGGCGGACACAGCCGAGCAGCGAGCTAACGCTGTTATTCCTGCGCGAAGCCAAAACAAAAAAGTTCCTGCGCCGGGCGGACACAGCCGAGCTAACGCTGTTATACCTGCACGAAGCCAAAACAAAAAACAAAAAAAGACATTTTCAAACAAAGACGTCAGCAAAGGTTTGTGTCGTGTTTTCACTCACGAGACCTGTCTGTTCTGCCGCGTCTCCTCTCACTCCATGTGTCACACACGTCACCCCGGGGTAAAAGATTTTGCTGTCGACTGGAGTTAGCGTTGAGAAATTTATGCTGTTTTGTAATGACTACATTTTTAGCATCATAGCCGCCGGCGAAATCAGAGCGCACGTCTGAATCTTTGACACTTTGAATGTTGTTTTTCTCGTGCACTCGGGCGCCACTCGGGCTTTTTCCGTTAATTCAGTCAGCGATGGTAATGGAGCGGAGCTGCAGCGAGTGTTTGTGCGAGGACAGGAAATAATGTGGTGAGGGGCCAAGAGAGGAAGTCAGGTGTGGCAGTGGAGTATGTGAGGGCGGTGGAAGACGTGGGCTCAGCAGTGAGATGTTAGGGTTTAGTGAAGTATTATGAAGTACTGCAGTGTATTCTGGGTGTGTACTTAGATTAATTTGACCTGAAAACACCTTGACAGATCTCGTTCTGTCGTCTCCATCTCTGTCGTCAAAGCCTCAGCAGCAGCCGTGCTCATGTGACACCGTGTACATTTCATGTTCAATGTTTATTTTTCCCAGGCGAGTCAAAGGTTCTGCTCCTTGTATCTGTCTCTGTGACATGCCAGAACCTCGGCAACAAGCAGAGATAGCGACGTGGCTTTTTGAAATGCTAAGTAGAGCAACACCAGCCTTAACTTCCACCGACGCCGCGCTATTAGACGAGCGTTAATATTCTGAACATGCCCTCTCTCCTCTCCCCTCCTCTCTGCTCCTTCTCGTCTTTATCAACCCCCTGTTTCTCTTCCCTCAGTCATCAAAGGTCTTATTCAAAAACAAAAAAGTAGGAGGCGAGAACATTTCCTCATATTCCGTTTGTTTACTTACGCATTCCAGCTCAGAAATCCAGACTGCTGCGTCGTTAGCATTCAAAACACGGTGACTGTGATTCACCTTGAGCTGCCAAGTCATTCAGGCTGCTGTTTTGGCTGAGGCCGTGTGTCATGATGATGATGATGATGATGATGATGATGATGAGAGCAGCCAGCTTTGGATGTGCAGCTTCCAATCATACGTAGCAGAAAACAGGGGCATTTAGGCAGAGGAGGTAATCAATGTAGCGTGTGAGCGCGGGATTCTACGCTGTGTGACACACAACAGGATTTTATGCCCTGTCAGCATGTCCAGCTGTCGTCCTGGGGGGGGTTATGAACTTAATGACGTTAGCTGTGTTTATATATGTGTGTGTGTGTGTTTCTCTGTGTGGATAATGGGTCATTAAGTTGTAATGTAGATGTCAAGTGTGCCAGGACAGTTTGATCATTTCTAATGGGCACGAAAAAGTCTCTGCTTCAAATGAACAGACGAAGAGAGGTTTGGAGCTGAGGTTGAGTGACACGGACACTCCAGGTCTCCAGGACTTAGGTCTCCAGGTTTCCAGGTCATGACCTGAAACCAAATAATGCAGTGCCTGAAATCGCCCGTAGACTGAACATAAAAGATGGAGCTACAGCAGAGTGAAGTCAGTGAGTTATTTATAACCAAACCCTGGTTAGTTCTCACATTCAGCAGTCAGCATCCTTCCAGATGATTCTGTCGCCTGAATATTTCAGGACTGTGTACCTTATATACATTATATAAACTTGTGAATTACAGTAAAATGATGAAATATAAGCAGTTTGGTAGAAAAATGTTGTAAAGTAGTTGATCCTCAAAGAGGCTCCTGGTGATGTAACTCAGCTGTTACCTGTTACTAGGCAGCTATTGGATGATGGAGCTGTCAAATAAATCAAAGTAATGGATGCATGAGAACCAGGATGTATGTACATATATATTTAGATATATATATATATGTTTCTCAGTCCATCGTCTGGAGTGAGAAAATTTCACACAACTATCTCCCCCCCCCCCCCCCCTAACCCCCCCCCCCCTCCTCACTTCCCTTTCTTTCGTTCTTTTATTTTAATGAAGGAAATCAAGCGTCTGCTGACAACGCTGTCACATTCATGGCACAGCACACATACTAATTAGATGAATTAGCTCAATAACTGACAGAACATTTCTGTATTTAAACAGTAAGTGCAGCAGCTCGTGTGCTGTGACAAAAGTGTAGGAAAAGACTGAAGTGATCTGTTTACTGACAGATACTAAATGATTAATTACTGCTTCATTAATCAGCCTTTCTGGACGGCTGATTCTGGGACGCAAACCCAGGCTGAGAGGGAATGAATATTTTATAGATGAATGCCTCAGCAGAATGTGCAGCGTTTACTCTCTCAGATTACATAACGCCGTCATTAGTCGGCTTAAATCATTCACCCCACATGTAGTGTGTCTGAACAGCACGGTCCCAGTCCCAGTGGTTTTGTGGTCTGGATTCACACTCAGGTGATCCTGGTTCCACTCCCAGAACAGTGGAACGTTTTGCTGTCAATAGAGCCGTTGGTTCGACTCCCGGCCGTGGCAGGACTAACAAGCCCCCACATTAGAACCTACTGTACAGCCTGCTGCTCCTGCTGCTGCTGCTGCTGCTGCTGCTGCTGCTGCTGCTGTCCTGAGGTAATCACTGCAGAGTTCCACGGAGGAGGCGTTAACGGAGGAGTGAGAGAACACGGCTAATGTCGAGTTAGTGTGGAACGTTTTATAAAATGTGGATCATGTGACAGAGAGGCCTTCACTGACCTGAACCACAAATTCAACTCTACATAAACAATAGATGCCAAGACTCTCTCTCTCTTCCTTCTCTATATATACATATATATTATATACATTTTTTTTTCGTGCCGTCTCGTCACAAATTGAGCTGTGACTAAACGGCCGCTAACGTCTCACACGTGTTGAAATCATTGTCTTTGTTCACTTCCTCCTGACTCCTACAGCTGTTCTGGAGTGTTTACTCTCTGCTGTCACTTGGCGACTAATTACAGAGTCAGTAATTATTTGCCTTAAAGTAAACATGTTTGTTTAATAAAAAGGAGTGTTGTTTCTTCAGTTTGTAATTTTATTTTAGTTTTGGTCGTCCACACTGGAGACAGACAGGAAATATTACCACCGTTCCACTGACTGTAGTTCCTGTTCCGGCCAACAGGGGACTCCGTGTCCAGACGGCCTCTGTAAACACATCTGTTTATCCGGTGAAGGCACCGAGTGAAATCTGATAAATGCCCACGTATCAGCTGCTGTTTTGGTTCTGCCCATTAACTGCCCTCTGGCCAGCGCTAATCAGACGTTAGCAAGAACACGATTTGGGTTGGTGAGGTGTGTGTGTGTGTGAGGGGGTGAAGGTCTTTTCATTCATCAGTGAGACCCCTCTAATGGAGCGTTTAACCAGTCACCTCACAGAGAAACAAACCCAGTTACACCACCAAGTGTTAGGGTTAGGAAATGCAGGAGAAGAAAAACTGAGTCAGATTTTTATTATTATTATTATTAATGACTTTGAGGATGAATAATAGTCTTAAAGAGTTTCGTATTAAAGGGTCAGGACCCCCCCCTCCCTCCCTCTGTCCCCCTGTTCATATTGGCTGCACATATTTACTTACAGTCATTAATGTTAAATATCAGCTAATTATAGGAGCAGTGGGAACCCGTTTACTGTGACCCAGGTTAACAGCTAGGGGGCAGTAAAAAGAGCTGCTCAGCTTCAGAGGTTTAATGGTTTGAGATGTTCATGAGCAGAAACTCACCCCCACAGTTTGGGGCTCACAAATCATGACTTTTGAACCTGCGACGTCTTAACAGTCTAGAACAGTGACCCTCAAACGGTGGCCTGTGGACCCAGGTGGGCCGTGAAGCAGTTCTGTAGCTCCAGTTTCCTCTCTGGGTTTCTGACAGACAGACAGCTGAGTCACGTGCAGCTGATGACAGACCTCATCAGCGTGGTGTGAAATCATTCGACGGTGTTTTGGATGTAATGAGCGTTCATTTATACTTAAAACTGTGTTCTACAGCGTGTGGAGCTGCAGTCACAGCCGGGGAACAGCTGGCCTTGTAATAGACGGTGGATATATACATATGGATTTATGGAAATGAGTTCATCTATCAGGATGGAGGAGACGTGTTGATATCGCTCCTGTATCTGTGGAACAGAACGATATCTCAGCGCGTCACGACGTTTGTTTTAAAAACAAGAAACGAGACAAAGACAGAGTCCCTGGTTTGTCGTTGGACCTTATCACCACTGTAAAAACAAAAAGAATGACTGTTTCCGACGTCGCCCTGATTCCTCGCTCTCTCTCTCTCTCTCTGTGTGTTTTCTAGGTATTCTACGTACTGCAGTACCGGACATGGACAGGGAGGCCCAGGACACGTACCTGGTGGTTCTCCAGGCCAAGGACATGGGAGGCCACCTGGGCGGACTATCCGGCACCACCACGGTCACCGTCAAGCTCAGCGACGTCAACGACAACCCTCCCAGGTTCACCCAGAGTGAGTACAGCGCTAACGTAATGGGGAGAAAATAGTGTGAACGGAGACGCCGGCGTCTCAGAGACACGCGCTCCCGTATGGACAGTAATTACATGGAACTACTTCCCAACCTCCTGCTCACACACACACACACACACACACACACACACACACACATCATCACGCTCACTCACGGTTCACAAACACTCCATTAGGCTGTGAGCGGCTGCGATTGTTAAGGTTCCCACTCATTAGAACAATGTGGCGTCAAGTGAACTGTCAATCAGCGCCCGGCGACTGGGCTAACTTTTAATGACTTTGTCGCGCCGCCGCTAACTTTCTCAACTCTCATTTCATTGTAAAGGTCTTTAAGAAAACAAATGGAGTCGTACCGCGGCATAAACACGCTGTTTGTTTTGGCCCAGAGGGCAGATGAGTTCCAGGACCTTTCTGACCTGCAGGTACCGGCAGGGCTGGTGCTGTTGGAGTCGGGCGGAGGAAACTCCTGCAGGGCTGCAAAGTGTCTCATCAAATATTCATGGTTGGATTTCACCGGCCTCTGCAACCACAGAGACCAGTCTTCACCTGCATCTGTGGGTGGACTTTGAGTGTTCTTTTGTCTGAGGGAAATCAGAGGTGGACACTTTACTGTACAGGTTTACAGTCAATGAACAAAAACTCAACTAGGACAGAACAGTATTGAACATCAGTCTGGATGTTCTCACTCTTCTCAGACTGATGACTGTTGACCTGACACGTCTGTCCTTCACTCTTCTCAGACTGATGACTGTTGACCTTGACCTGACACGTCTGTCCTTCAGATCAGACCAGTGGTCTGGACACCGGTCTTCCTGTCGTCCTGTTCTTCATGTCGTACTCATCTCAGCTCCCTCCTCTGGGAGTTTATCGCTGACCTTACGCCACCGGCGGATTCTGAGGTGGAACAGACATGAAAACACGCCCTGGGCGGCATTTATCCAGGAGCAGCAGGAGGCTGTGGTGTACAGGGAAAAAAAAAAGAAAAAACCAGGAGACGCACTCGTGTGATTGGTTTTCTGTGGCTAATTTGCACGTCGCCTCGTGTCACCGTGTGGGTTGAAGTGAGTGCCCTTAATTCTTAATAATTTGCGAGTGAGACGAAGCCGGTGCTGCTGGTTTCACACTTGGGAGGAGGAGGGTGAGGAGGAGGAGGGTGAGGGTGAGGAGGAGGCGACGGTAGCTCAGAAGCTAATGACAGGAAGGGAAAAATGATGCACCTGAAAATGAAGCCCTGCACAAGTGTGTTGTGCACTTCTCATTTCTTCACCGTCAGTGGAGGCAAAATTAGAAACGAGGTGAAATTCACAAATCAGTCCAGAGGTTCAGGTGTCGGACGGGGATGGAACCAAAAAATTATTGTTGTTGCCTGAAGACCTGGATGCCCTGAGTTTGCCCAGGGGCATTATTCAGACTCACACAATCCATCCATCCATCCATCCATCCATCCATCCATCCATCCATCCATGTATATAAAACCTCTCCAGATGAGAGGTAATAATTCAGAGGAACTCCAAAGGTTGAGAAGGTCTGGAGACTGGACTGGACCAGATGTTGGAGATGTTCAGACCCATGGACTTGATCACCACTGGACATACACAGCAGTGAGGCCTCAGACGATGGAGAGCGGTGGAAGCTCAGCTCTAGGTGGCGCCCGACCACCAGGGAGCAGGAAAGGGTCATTACGTGGTTGGTGGACAGCTGAAGATTCACAGTGGGATCTCCTCTGAGCAGAGGAGCCTGGCTGAGAGAAAAGATCAGAGGCAAAACAGACAGGAGGTTAGAGAGAGAGAGAGAGAGAGAGGGGAGAGAGAGAGGGGAGAAAACTGGAACTGAATGTGAAACAGCAGAAGTTGTGTCTGATCCAGAAGAACCAGGACTGACGGATCAGAGAGTGGATGGAGCAGCAGAGAGGGAGCCTTTCTAGAGGTTTGGATTATGTAAGGGTTCCAGCTGGTGGGTTCTGCTCTGAATCACCACACCTGTCTCTCTCTCTCTCTCACACACACACACACATATGTAACAGTAACTCAGGAGGAGGCCGACACTTGAGGGAGACCAGGAACAGGACCGTGTCCCTGGAGCAGATGCAGTGATAATGACGAGAGTTTCTTTAAAGTCAAGTACAAGTTCCACACAGCTCCAGCAGGTGTCGCTCACAGCCGACAGCTTCAGATCCAGCTGCTGACAGGCCGTCGAGTGGATCGTCTGATCAGGAGAGTCATCAGAACCTCGCAGTCACACGATGATGGATGTTTTCCAGTGACATCACTTGGACCAGGACAGCGTCTGATTGGACGATCTTTGTTCAGTAACGATGGAGAGCCGGGATTTTTCTCTTTTTTCCTGAGTGGCAGTTTGTTGAATTTCCTACCTGACAGTTTGTCTCTGATTTGCCCTCGCCCCGTCTCTGACCCCCTGCCAGGGTATCTGGGTAATGAACAGTCTTCACTGTGGCGCCTCCTCCTGTCATGAAGTGACAGGCCCGACTCCCTCGGGGT